ACTCTGTCAAGGAGTACTCATTTCAAAAGTTCTAAGCCCCAGAGTTCATTGTGACATCATTGCAAAAAAGGCATTAAGAGTTGTCAATCTTACTTTACGAAGTTTTCTCTTTGGTAACACTATACTTCAAACTAGGGCATACAAAACTTTTGCCAGACCTATACTTGAATACTGCTCACCTGCCTGGAACCCTCACTGTATTTCAGACATCAATACATTAGAGAGAGTCCAGAGATATTTTACTAGAAGAGTACTCAAATCCTCTGCCCGAAATAAAATTCTCTATACCACCAGGCTTGAAATTTTAGGCCTCGATAGCCTTCAACTACGCCGTCTACGTTCCGACCTAAACTTAGTTCATAAGATTATTTGCCAAAACGTCCTACCTACAAATGAGTACTTTAATTTCAACCACAATAACACAGGGGCTATCAATAGAGTCAAACTCAATGTAATTTGCTCTAATCTTGATTATAGGAAATATGACTTCTGCAATAAAGTAGTAAATGTCTGGAATGCTCTATCTGATCCTGTTGTTAGTCTCTCTAATCCCCATACCTTTTACCTTAAACTGTCTACCGTGGACCTTTCATGTTTTTTAAGAGGTCCCTAAGGGGGCGTGCATAAGCGCACCAGTGTGCCTACCGTCCCTGTCTACTGTTCCCATTTATATGTACTCATGTGTTTATGACTATGTTTTGCTTATTTATATGTGTCCATGTCTATGTCTATACTGTTACTTGTTTCCTTGAACTTGTTGACAAACAAACAAACAAACTCTGATTGGCCACAGCCATCTGGCCTTTCCCTATACAAGACTGTATCTTTTACAGTCATTTTGTGTTGGGATTCCCAGTTTGTATGTTCTCTGGTGGTGTGGTAGAATCTCCAACTAAAATAGGGGGAGGAGTGAAGAGACTAGTGAATTTAGAGTCATTGCAGGACAGTAAGCAATGAAGACCTGAGTCCCATTCTTGAAACCCTTATCTGGATGTTCTCAAGAGAATGCAGTCAGTCTGGCGAGATTCTTGTAAATCAATCAGCAACAATTAGCAACTGTGATCAGCTCATGGTGTCGTTCTGGTTTGTCGCGCCTGATATAGTAGCCAGAAGCCACCTTTTCAAAAATCAGACTGCAGTCAATCCAAGAATGGCAGAAGAGTGTGAACCCTTATTTCTGCTATGCATAGCTCATTAATGAAGGCTTACCATTTCATTTGAATCCTAAATGACCACCAGCTTAGACTTCTGTACTATAAATTGTTGCAAATTAAAGCAATCCAGAATGGTGGCTATAGTGGATTTCTGGACCATACATTAAACCATGAACCTCAGTTAAAGAACCCTTGCATGATGGGAGTAGTGACTTTTTACAAATTAAAAGCTCATGATCAAAGCTTTCCTGCCAAACACATATAAAAATCCATATAAGAACATGGTATTTTGGTTCAATCCCCTTGCTGTTCTCTTGTGCATCTCATGCTTAGGACATTACTAAGCATGAGATGAAGAAGAGAACAGCAAGGTGAATGAGCCAAAATAGTAATGTCCTAATGCAGGGGTCAGCAGCCCACGGCTCTTGAGCCACATATGGCTCTTTCATTCCTCTGCTGCAGCTCCTTGTCACCAGTCGGTTCTACAATTGATAGGGCTTTCGGTTAGGACAGGTAGAGGAAAAAGGATGCCGGCCTAGGAGGAAACTCACTCTATGGTGGGGGAACTGGACTTCCAGTCGGCATAGGAAAAAGGACGCCATGCTAGGAGGAGACTCTATGGTTGGGGAACCGGACTTCCGGTCGGCTCCAGAATTGAAGGGGGGGGCTTCCGGTTAGGATCTTTGTGGCTCTTTGAGTGTTTAAAGTTGCCAACCCCTGTCCTAATGGGAACTTACTTGGACACAATGCTAATCTATGTTTGAATCCTATGCACATCAGCTGAAATCAGAAGCTTTTGTTTCATCCGGAGTACTACAAATCCTCATCACTCGGATAAATACTAATGAAATTGCACTCCTGTCAAAACGATATAAATACAAGAAAAGGAAGAACACTGGGTTCCATCCTGACAACTGGCTTGTGTCAAAACCCACTGAAATAGCTGTGAATAGTTATGGCTGACTTTCACTAATTTCAAAGAAAAATAAGTAGAATTGACCCTAAATGGCTCCAACCCACCTGGGATTCAGCAAAAAATTACTTCAGTTTATCCTTCGCCACTGGTGGTGGATCAGCAAACCAGCCTTCCTTTTTTTTTTCTGTTTGTTTTTATAAACTGAAATAGACACTTATACTGTAGAAGTTGTTAGGTGAGAAAGGCCTTTTGCTCCTCCAGTTCATTGGATTCTATAACAAACCTCCACATGTTCAAAGCAGACGAAAGCATTGGAGCTTGTTCTCGCCACCCAGTTATCTATCTAAAAATGGGACAGTCCATAAATCTGTATTCCAGGAGTTTAGTCTGTGCAGGCTGCAAACGTCAACACAGAAATAACTATTCAAGCATATTAAGCAGTAAAAAATTCTTAATATTCCTATGTTCCTACTGGTCACAAGAGGGCAGTAAGTGTCTTTCTCTGAAGTGCTTTTAACCAAAGCCACTAGATATGATGGCATGTCTGATATTGCTAATGGTCAGACTGCATTTTTATACCATTTCGAGGCTTTCCATTTGTTATTTGCATCATGAATGGGTGTGTTTGTACGGCATCAGATCTAGTCAGTCTCTAGATCCAGAGGAAATTATTTATGCCTTCATGTCAGCAGAGCACAGTCTCATATGCACAGAACAAATACGGAGCAGAGATCTCACTGTTACTCATGCCCTTGGGGTCACCGCCTATTTGGATTTCCATAATGCACCATATGTGGGGTTGCCCTTGAAGAATATTCAGAAAATTCAGCTGGTACAAAATGCAGCAGCACAGGCAGTTATGTGTGTCCCTATTATGGTACCAGGGGTGGGTTGCTACCGGTTCGCTCCGGATTGGGCAAACCAGTAGCAGCGGTGGTGGGAGGCTCCACCCAACCACCTGGATGTTTCTGCGCATGCGCAGAAGTGTTGTGCGTGCACGCAAGCACACACGCAGCCACGAGTGAACCAGTAGCAACAGAATTTGAAACTCACTACTGTATGGTACACATTACACCTCTACTCTGCTAACTGCTTCATGGCATGGGCAGGGTTATTTCAGATGACCTCTCTCTGATTACATCTGCATCACTCCCATCAGGTCTGGCAGAAGGTGGGCTGCAGTTCATAACTGCCAGGGTATTACATTTGACAGATCCCAGGAGACAGGTCTTCTCTGCCATAGTGCTCACCTTATGGAATCTTCGCTTCCCTGGAAGTGAGATTAGCTCCATCCTTCCCAACATTCCACAAGTCCTTCAAGATCTGACTACGTTATCAGGCCAGGAGGTCTCAGAGGAATGGGAAATTTTGTCTTCTTTCTTCTTTGGATTTAGAATGATGACATACAAAAGCCCAGATTGTGATTTTGAGAAAGACTGAGGACAAGCACTGGGCTGAGTTTTGGGGCTCCTGGATGCTTCTTTCGAAAGATAAGATATGGGAACAGTGAATTTTTTCTGTAATATATTGGCATGATAGAAATATGTCTTTACTGATGCTGAACCAATATATTCATAAAGAAACAACATATACAGGTATTCCTCGACTTAATGACCACAATTGAGCACAAAAATTCAGTTGTTAAGAAAGACATTTGTTAAGTGAATTTTGCCCCATTTTACAACCTTTCTCGCCTTATTTGTTAAGTGAGTCACTGCAGTTGTTAAATTGGTAACACAGTTGTTAAGTAAATCTAGCCACGACTGACTTTGCTTGTCAGAAAGTAGCAAAAGGTGATCATATGACCCTGGGATACTGCAGCCATCATAAGTGTGAAAAATGGTCATAAGTCTCTTCAAACAGTCACTAAACAAACTGTTGTAAGTCAAGGGCTACCTGTATTTAGCTTTTAATTAGTCATACAAAATTAACTCTTTTTTCATTGTCTAAACAAATAATAAGCTTTCTGTGATATCCTTACAAAAGAAATCAAATCCGACTAGAAGTGCTACACAGTTAAAATTTCTCAAGATAAAAAGATGTGTGGTACAGTATATGATTTACAAAGTTTTAAGTTACATATAGCCAGTGGTGGGATTCAAATAATTTAACAACCTGTTTGTGATAGCCAACCTCACCCTGGGCAAACCCGTTATTAAATTTCACCTCCCCCACTATCAAAGTGGATCCTGGGCGTTGCGCTGCTCTGCAATGGAGAAATGGGAAACAGAGCGGCTGGCACAAGAGAAGGAAAAAGAGCAGGGAGCAGAAAGACGGAAAATGGCCTTCTCCTTCCCTCACGCCAGCCGCTCCGTTGCCCGTTTCTCCATTGCAGCGCAGCGCTCAGGATCCACTTTGATAGCAGGAGCTGGGTAATTTAACCACCGGTTCACCTGAACCGGTGTGAATTGGCTGAAACCCACCACTGCATATAGCCTTCAGCTATACTGGCTAGGAACTCTGGAAATTGTGGTCCCAATATATAGGAATGAGTCAAAATTACTAAGAGCTGCCCCAACATGAAGGGCAGTAATAATGAAAGATTTGTAGATAGGGTATTAGAAGCCATTAACAGGTCCCTTTGCAAACTACCCAGAGTCTTTTAACGAAATATAGAAATATAAACAGTTGTACAGTCGATACAAACTTTCTCTTGTCATGTGCTCTTAGAAGTTTAAGGTTGTTTTTTTTTTTTTTTTTTTTGCTGAAATATTAACATGGTGACTTTGTCATTGAAGGCACTGAACCTCTGGTTATCCACGTTTAGGAATGTTTGCTACAGCAAGGACTTTGAAACATGTTTGCAAAGAAACAGTTAGCGGTTAGGTAATATTCTCTAGGTGAGGAAATTGTGGAATGAAGCATAGCTAACTGGGGCTAGCCAAATAAATAGTGCAAATAAAAGAACAGATAACTATGTACAGCAGGGATGCAAAACTGGAGATTTTATTTGTTTCAAAATATTGGCCTTATTGAGGTGTACAGATTTTAGTAACAGATACAGGGCCAAGTCAGAACACTATTCACAACATGCTAAAATGAAAATTCTTCCATCACATGTATCTTTAATTATGTACATACTTTCTATGTACGCACAAACAGTATATTCTCCCCCCCAAAGGATCAAATTCTCGAATGCATGATGGCAAGCAGGGAATACATACTTATGAAGAATAGGGAGATTAAAGTCATAATTTTCCTTGAAATGCAATTGGAAATATGATCCACTAAAATTAATGGAACATATTTTAAATAAACTACATTGGACTAAAATGCAATGGCCTTTGACAAGTTTTCAACTCAAGCATTGGGGTTTGTTTTTGGTAAACCTGAATCACAAGGTATAATTACCACATGTTACAAATTTACATAAACCAACAATACCACTTTAATAATTTGCACAAAAAAAAATTAGCACAATATTCTTAATTTACACAGGAATCTTTGGATAAAAATAATGATTAAATAGGACAGATTATAGAAAGAAAGCTATTATGATATAGCTTTGGAAAGAGGGCTTGTAATATAAGTGCTGTGAAAAAAATAGGAAACCAGTTTTTTGTATTTTTTTCTTTCTTTTCTATTTTTCTTCAATTTTTTTCTTTTCTTCAACTCTTTGGTTTTTTATTTCTTTCTCTTTTTTCTTTCCTTTATATTAGTTTTTATTTTCTTATTTAAAGCTTCAATAAAACTCATATGTATGTAAAAAAAAGAAGAAATCTTTGGATTAAAAAACACAAGCTTGGATACTGATAATTCCATCAGATAATTCTATACAACACTGAAGTTGTATCAGTGTTAATTCAAAATGCTTGTTGGGATTGCCAGCATATCTGCCCTTGCTCCTGTTGAAAGTCACCTCAAGACAAAGAAATTAAGCAGATGAAAGTTTCTTATTTGAGAACAGAGCCAATCATAAATAAGGTTTTCTTATGAGCCAAAAGCAAGACAATTCACCAATGCCTTTAAGAGAAGAGTGGTAGATTTAGTTCAGTGTCCATGGCTTCTCTTCTGACTGATGAGGACACCTTTCCCAAATTCTCTTAATGTGAGGCTGTCCAAAACACGAATGCTTCTTTCTGGCTAGTTAGTAGAATATAAACCATGGCTTTACTTCCAAAAGGGGCAAACCAACTTAACTATTGAGCTATGCCAACTGCAGACAGGAAGCCTACAAATTCTGGAATAACAATCACTGTTCTTTTTCAATCTGGTAAACCAATAAAGGTCATATTTATGGTGCATAGTGATACAGAACTTAGTGTAACATTTACATCTTAAAAGAAAACTATCATTACTGAAGGGAGGGAAAGGAGGAAGATACTTGAAAGTTGTCACCATTTTAATGCTAGAGCCTCTACCCTGTGGTAGGTTCCACGTGAGACAGAAAGCAGGAAGAAAAAAAGTGGGAGAAACAAGAAGCAAAGCTACACCTTTTGATTTCTAGATGGCAACTCTAATTAGCCAACTGCAAAAAGGCATATGTGTTACCTCTCAATGGGGTGATCATAGCAGCCTTGAGAAAATAAATTAACAGAGTTGTTGACAGAAAAGGAGGGACTATTTTCTGGAAGCTAACATGACAAACATTTGGTAAGCTAAAAGCCCAGTAGAATGAATTTGCAACCACTGAATCTTCTATTTCAAGCTACATGGCTAGTAAACCAGCCACTCAATTGTCTGATTTGTTCTAGGCCAGTGTTTCTCAACGAGTTGAAGTCCACCCATCTTCAAGCTACCTAGGTTAAGAAACACTGTTCTAGGCAGATGCAGTCCACTTTACACTACCACAAACTTTTAATTAAATTATGGTTTATTATTTTTATATCATTTGTTTCAAAATAATGTTTATTTAGAAAATGAAATATTTCTATATACTAACACATTAACATACAACATATGAAGGAGCTTAACATTTGACTTGTAGGAACACAGACTAACGTGCAGTAAAACAGTAATTAAGAAACAACAGGGAATAATGGAGGATAAAGAAAAACCTCTCCAGAGTCTATAAACATTCCAAGTGTGAACTTCTATCTCGCACTCCTATAAATTATTATTATTACTATAGTTGGTTGCACAGTCACCCAAATGTTTAGACTGGATTTGGCATTTTTATCCACTTATCGAGTCCTTTCCAAGTATCTGGGCTATGCAGATATTGTTTGATGATATTAAAGGTATTGTCATTACAGATCTAAACTGTAATTGCAAATTAGTATTATTATTCCATTTATATGACTTATTTCCAACACAGATCATCTTCACATAAACCATAAAGTGGTGTATTATTTTGCCTCTTGAAGGAAAGGAGCCAAAAATGGCAACCGGTGTTGTCTCACTTTGTTTTGGAAAAGAATTTATTACAAAAATAAATATGCTGTAGCCCAACTGGTGCTAAATATGCGAGGAAAAATAAGCGCAGGTGGGAAAAAGTGGCTCTGCTACATCATGAGAAAAGACTCCTCATTCTGGGCCTGTTTCATATAAAAACATGTGGCCCTTCATATTAAGAGGAAAGTCCAAAAAGGGATATTCTGTGTTATCATAGCTGATATATTGCAATCATCTTCTTTAAACTGTTCCATTTCCCTAAAGAACAAAGAAAAATGTTGGCTACTGTTAGTCATAGTTTAACATTTAGACAGCATTTTATTGTAGTAAGAAACCCAGGTTTAATTCACCCTGTTAGCCCTAATTTAGTAGCCCTCTTTTATGCCCAAAAGGTGAGTCTGAGGGTCAAATTCCAATGTGAGAATAGTCCTAATGTGGTAAAACTTTGTCTTCTCAGTGGTTCCTTCATCCTGCCCTGAAAATGAGGTCAGCAAAGTTGACATCCTCACACAAGGCAGGGTTATGATTTTGACCACTGGTGTCAGGGGAGTGAAGTGAAGTCTTTCTGCTGCTGCTTCTTTCCACCAAAACCTCCAAGAATGGGTCCTTTACCACCTCCCACCACAACAGCCCCAATGCTTCCCAGAAAGCATGGAGGAAAGGACAGGGATTCTTATGGAAAGAGATAGCGGAGTTACTAGTGGGAAAATGAGCCTTGCAGAATAAATCAATATTGCTACAGGGTTGAAAAATAAAGAAAAGAGTTTTAATCAGTGGTGAAATTCAATTTTTTTTACTACCGGTTCTGTGAGCGTTGCTTAGTGGGCATGGTGTGGCTTGGTGGGCGTGGCTTGGTGGGCGTGGCAGGGGAAGGATACTGCAAATTCTCCATTCCCACCCCACTCCAGGGGAAGGATAGTGCAAAATCTCCATTCCCTCCTCACTCCTGGGTGGGGAGCCAGAGGTGGTATTTTCCGGTTCTCCGAACTACTTAAAATTTCCGCTACTGGTTCTCCAGAACCTGTCAGAACCTGCTGGATTTCACCCCTGGTTCTAATGCTCCACTGATTGGGATTCAGCAGCCTTGTGAATTCTCTTGGATGGAGGCTTGGTATACGCAAACTAGATAAGGACGTTTTGTATGAAAGGAGATCAAGCATTGCCACATACTGATAGCTGCTCAGAATGCCATTAAAATACAACTACAGTACTAGAAGTTAGTTTAAGATCTAGACTGACAAACTAAATTATGATGATTAATTAAATTATGGCACAAATAATATGTATGTATATGGACATGCTTTACAGTAGCTACTAGTTTCGGCTATTCTCATGTGTATAAATTACAAATACCTTTTTTTAAAAAGTCTGATAAATAACCTAACAATTCTGCAATTCTGCTTCCAAATTCTGGAAGCAAATATGTTATTTTCTTAGAACACTTCTACCAACTTAGCAACTTACAAGCTACTGTAACAACAAAACGGTTATGCTCTGGCTTAAGTATTCTTTCTGAAAATAGAATTATAGATTTAGAAATCTCATCTTGACCAGGGGTCTCCAACCTTGCAACTTTAAGCCTCTCGGACTTCAACTCCCAGAATTCAAAGATGGCTGGAGAATTCTGGGAGCTGAAATTTGAGAATCAAAATTAGAGTATTACTAAAAGATGACTGTTCAGTCAGACTCTAGTTCATATACCCAGTGAAGGAGAAGCTTTCAGTTTCATAGATTCCACTGTCAATCTGAATTTACTACCAGAAAGTCTTTTCTGATACTCAAAGAGAAACTGCCATCTTGTCAATTTGCCGCAAGTATTTAAGAAAATACAATAAGTAAACAATAGCACATCAACACAGAAAATGAGAAGCTGGCATACTGGAATATGAAAGCATTCTTACCTCACAGCACCCACAACATTTGCAGTCTCCGCAGAGAGCTCCAAAGAGACCATTGATTGCCTGAATGGCACACAAGACCAATTGAATTCCACTCATTATCAGAAGCAGAGAGAAGAGTGTCAGATTCCAGGGGACAATGGATTCTGGGGACTGGCACATCAGCCATAAATCATGATCCCCAAGGTAATCGCTGCGGGGAGAAAAAGAATATGTGTCTGTTATAGAAGCCATTGCCTACATTTTACAGTATGTTTACTTTCCTAGCTCATAAATGTGCCATAAGCCAGGACAGATCTATGCCTATTATATAATAGTATGCATCTAATGGTGATCTCTGGGTTCTAATAAAATAAAACTGATACCCATTTGAAAAAGGATTAAGCTGTATCTTAATGGACACAATGGATTACCAGAAGTACATGGCTAGCGAAATATCTTCCACCATCTCAACAATTTTTTTTCAGAATTCTTTCCATACAATCTGCATGGAACAGATATTTAAAAAACAAAACAAAACTCCTTCGGTTACATTTTGGCCAAGTTTAATTTATGAAAAATGTGGACCATCAAATAAAATGTCTAGTCAAGGAAAGACTGCTGGAATGGAATAAGAGGAATTGAGGTTCCTTTATTGTCAAACTGGGATGGTTCGCAGCCTGAAGGATTCACCAGAATTATTCTCTTAATTTATTTATCAATAAGAATGAAACAGTCCAGTAAAGTTTCTAAGGGATCTAATGATGGCAAATGTATAAGCTAAAATAAATAAATATTTTAAATGAAATGTGGCTATATCTAATGATCTTCACATAGATACAGTGACAGAGAACTTGGAGCCATTATCAAAAAAGAAAATAATACCTGGCATTTGCAAATGATTATAGCTCAATGTTTCTGACAGATTTTGAGAGTTGAGACTAATCCTGGGGTCCACAATAGTGGCAGAGTATGTCTGAGAGTTCGTATGGAAATATGCATTTCTTTTAAAATTACCTTATTTTGTCTGATCAATAGAATTCAGATAATGATATGTTTCTACCAGAGGATCCTTATTTATATCTTTTGGAATGATAAATTTCAGGAAAGGTACCAGCTGTCTTTTTTTCCCCCTGTGGTACACTTAACACAAAATGTACTTTGCCATTCCATATTTTTGTTATGGCTTCTTTTCTATATTCAAAGAATAAATCAATCCAGAGTTGTCACTCGAAGAACGAACCAACAGACTCAAATTGCTATATTTTGAATATATTATGCAAAGATGTGGGTCTCTTGAGTAGTCTTTAATGGTGGGAAACGTGGAAGGAATGGGAGGAAGAGGATGACCAGTAGCAGGGTGGATGGACTCAATTACTGTGGTGAGGGATATACTTCTGGAAGACTTGAAAGGCCAATTTATTTATAGAACATTCTGAACATGGTCTATCTACATCAGGGGTGTCAAACTCAATTTCATTAAGGGCTGCATCAGGGTTGTGTTTGAGGGTGGGCGTGGCCAGGGTAGGCATGGCCAGCATGATGTCACTCGGTTTGGGGAGGCACCTGTGGTGGCCTGAGCGCCCTGCCAGTGAAAATGGGCTACCAAGTTCCATTTTTGGCTGGGACAGTCTCTGCAACCCTCTGCCAGGGAAAATGGAGCTCGGGAGGGCCGCAAGCAGCCCTCGGCAGCTCTATTTTTGCTGGCAGAGGCACTGTGGGTCCTTCTCTGTTTCCAGTGCGGCCCTGCAGGCCAGATCTAAGCACCCAACATGCCGGATCTGGTCCCTGGGCCTTGAGTTTGACACCCCTGATCTATGTGGTCATTAAAAGTCAACACTGACTTATGGCACATAACGAATATTTTCTATATAGTCTCATAAATTTTTATTTTTTAAAGTGAGATTACAGCATGCCTTCTGGAGCCATCCCCAGCAAGGTGTCGTCAGGTTAGTAGGAGTCCAATACCTCCCCTCATGAGGAAGATGTAGTCCCATATATCTGAAGAGCATTGACTGAAAAAGGCTGTTTTTCAGTAATATCACACGATGTCAATCATGTTGCTACATAATGGCTAAATAAAAATAGCAATAACAATAATGAGTATCCCAGATCCTTGGGAAGGACACCATAGGCTGACAAAAATGCTAAATCCAGCCTGAACATCTGGCTGACTGTGTGATGAAACATAATAGTACATAACAATAACAATAAGCATTAAATGTATCTTACCCATTATTAAACGGATACTCCCACTGGCTACTATTGCTGCTATGAATGTTACACTTCGGGCCTCTGTTCAAAGCCACAACTGACACAACAAAACTGTATCCAGCTCCCACAATTCCAACTACTGCAAATATTATAGAACTAAACATCTGCCAACAAGAGAGAACAGCAACAAGAGAAAAGATGAGATCAAATCTGATGCTTGTATGTTTATATAATTAGTTGGTTTATTTTGGTCACAAATGGCATATGAAAAAGTAAAAAATCATTATCTCTAAATCTACTGAAATTTTCTTAGTTCAGGGATCGTATGGAACTTCATGACAGAAATTCACGACATGGCATGAACTACAAAATCTTTACAAATTAAATTCAATAGACTAAAGTAGTTGACCTTATAAGAAAGCTGAGTGGTATACTCTAGTTAAGACCTCAGTCCAGAGGTTTTATAACGTTTAATTTGCTTTTAATGAATCATTTTTATGTCCCTTTCTCCTAGAATACAAAGCCAAATATTCAGCCTTCTTTACTTCATGAATCTGATCACTACTTGCCAAAATTTGTTTCAAATACCCCAGAATAATTGTTAAGATAGTTCGAGCAATTTAACTTTCAATGTCCAATTTAACCCACAAAGCCCCACCACATGTTGCAACTAGATTACAATTGTTAATGTAGCAGAAAGGAGACATGATTAAGCATATAGTGGGGAACTGTACTAATGGTAGCTAGTTTGAATTAGCTCATTACAATTAATATTCAATTTAATTAAATCAAGTTTTGTCCTGGCCCCTATCCCTTTGGGGAAGTAGCATCATGGAAAGGGTAAAAAAAAAAAAAAGGCTATGGAATCTAGTTCATTAAAAAAGGCAGAAAAATGATCAAGGGGTAGAACCGTGATCCAGGATAATCATAGATATAACATGGAAAATTATTAGAAAAAGAATTTATAAAATCCTTTTCCTATGATAGTAATACAATTGAGAATCATCCAATTTATTAACAAGGGATGTGGAGTTTTCCCCCAACTATCCTAAAAAAACCCAAATATAGAGTGCATCTAAGAAATCTAAGATTATGTATTGTTGTCATTGAGCCACACAAAACCATTACATTCAAAAAATTGAAAAACTTTGCAGAAAAAAAAAGTTCGGGACAGAGATACACAAACCATTCATGATTTTGTTAAGGATTAAAATCTGCAAAATGAATATGAGTCTATTTTCAGAAGTAAAATCTAAAATGCTTTTTTCCTAAGTATTTCTTTGGGTGTGGCAGGCTCAAACGGAGCCTAGTTATCAAGGCCATCCTGTATATGGTAGTGTAATGATGAATGGAATATATATTTCCTTCTTAATCATTAGATTGGGATTGGAGGTTCCTTTTGCTTTCATAATTACCGCAAATCTTTTTCCACAGCTTTCATTTCCACAGCATCCACAACAATCATTATTCTTAAGACCCAAAAAGACCAAAGCAGGAAACACCATCTGGATAAAACAGAAAATCACAATGAGGCCATAATCTTTCTCTATTTAGTTGCATCTAATCTGGATGCTGCAATGCCATTTCTTCTTTCTTGCTGAAATGTTGTCATTGCAACCAGCAGGTTTACAATTGTGTAAGCAACAGGATCATTCTGGTCCAATGATGAGGTTACCCTAAGCATATTGAACTGGAAAAAGCCACTGAATGCACTAGAAATCACTTCCAAGTTTAACGGTTAGCCTCTGACTGGAAATATCCCAACACAAAAAGAAAAATCAAATAGAAAAAAAGAGGAAAGGTAACCAAAAATACATTTTATAGAAATCTGTTTATATTCTTTTCTAGTCTACATTGGTTACTGCTCTAACAAAACAATGCTAGGCTAATAAAGTGTTGGTCTGATCTAACAAAATGATGTTTATCTGTTTATTCACCAAAGATATCTAGATATATATGTTGTTGCTGCATCATCAGATCAGCATCTGTTTTCTTAATAACAAATTGAATTCATATTTGTGAATTATATTTTTAATTTCAATCTTGCTTATTCAGCAGATAATAATTTAATTCCAATGATAGATTGCAACAAAGTTCTATGTATTAATACTTCTATAAAGCCTGTAAACTCTTGATGATAAAAAGAAAAAGCACAGGGTACTTGATTACTCACCAGTACACCAGAACCCAAAATTCCTCCAAAGTACCAAACTTCATCGGAAATATGGTCGCTAATTTCAATTGTTCCTCCAGGAAAAAATAACAGAATATTGGCAAGAACGCATAGTATGGTTAAAGGAATGAGAGTAACTCCAAGACACTTGGCACACCCTCCACAACACATATTTCAAAATGGTACTGCAAATTCCACTAAAAAAGGTAGACCTTTCCTTTGATCTTGATGTAATTTTTAGCCGAAGTTTCTTATAGTCTTCTTATAGTCTTATAGCCTCAACCCACTTGTGTTTTCGATTCCACTTTCTTTCATAGACTTCAGTCTGCCAGCAGCGCAGAGGTCTGACAATTTATAAGCCTAACACTGTCATGATCTCATATTTCTGCATCTCTCCCGCCCTAATGAGATTATGTTCAGAACAGCCACTGAATTTGTCATGACAACCAGAGGCTCTGTTAATATTCTACTATCCACCCCAAGAAAGTCAGTAGTTGGAAGAAGATGATTGTAACCTCTTTTCTCATCGATGGTAGAAGATTTGGGCTGGTGAACTTTCTCTCTCGTTAGATTGGAAAAAAAGGAAAAGATTTCAGATTCTTATCCACAGTACAAATAAAAATGAATGATTACTTCATGTACCATTACATTACTCACTAATTTTAATGGGTGGCATCCTAATAATCTATCGGGTCTTTGAAAGAAGAACAAGATAAAAGCTGTAAAAGCAAAGAATGATAGGGAGATTGAGTAAGCAGATCAAAGGTTTGTTAGCTACTTTCTCTGCATGGTTCAATAGAATTTTTATATTGAAAAATAAGGCTAAGAATATGTATAGATTTCTTAACCTTTATTCTAAAATGTAGGATTGCAACCCTGTGGAAATTTCATTCTACGTAGATACAACTTGGACACTTTGGTTTAGGATCATCTATCAAATGTTTGTGTTGTATGTAATTTATTCAATAAATCATAATTAGGCTAACCTTGAGTGAACAAAATGTATGCATTTGTCAGACCTGCCCCAGTCTGATCCCTTAGGGAAGGAAAACTCTCAATTCCATTTGGTTGAAGCAAAAGATACTTTTACTAAGAGATGCTGATTGCATACGGTCAGGCAGAATCTAAAGTTCCCGCGCAACAATACAAAACTATGTTGCTTGGTTCCCCATCCCTCCACCCATGACCAGTCCATCTTTAGCCAATCCGACATCACCGAGATGTTTTGGGAAACACTGAGGTGTTTAGGCTGATGAAATTCCACTCTCAGGGCAAATGACCTTGAAGATGCCAGGCATGAACCGGATTACAAAATGCTCTGCTCTTTTTCAATTGTTCCCCCCTCCCAAATTCCCAGCAGACATATACAGCTTTATTGCCCATTTGTTCCTCCTGCCTTCCCCAGTGCTTTGATGGGAGATACCAGAGAGGCACTAAGCCAAAGATGATGGACCTGATAGTACTTATTCTACTTATTAATATCACAGGATTCACTTTAGGTTGGGGTACTGCATGGTTTGTTTGTTTGTTTTTACTTAATCTATTGAAAGATTAACATATTTTCATATTACCAAAATTTCAGGGGATTTAGGGAGAATTGACCTACATCTTAAGAAACACCACCTGATTTATGCTATTACCAGTTATCTGTTGGAAAACAATTACAATGGTTTTTTTTTTAATTTCACCAGTTTCTCAACCTTCCACTTTCAGCTCTGTTTGTAAAGAATGGAACATTATCATAAAGAAAATATTTTCCCCTTTTTTTAGTTTGGAAGGAGCAAAGCTAAATTGTATTATGTTTTAAATATAAAATGTGATTAATGGATGAATTGACTTTGCATCTTGACTTATATTTACTCATATTTACAGAAGACATAATGAGCATGTCAACATAATGCAGTCATTCAATTATTTATTCATTGATTTAATATTAAATGACATATCAAAACAAAGTCAGTCCTGATTTGCTATGTGGTAGCAATGGTTAGGTAGCATCTTAGCGGTGAGGTGGTTGATCAGCTGCTATTCAGAGTTTTTTTCTTTTTTCCCAATGTGAAAATAGGTGTTGGACCAATTGGGATTAAAGAAGGGGGTGGGAGAAAGATGTTGTTCCAGTTATGTCACCTCTCTTAATGTCTATGAAGAAGTGTGGGGCAGCAGGGACTGGTTTTGTGGAAGACCATTTTTCCATGGACTGCATGAACAGGAGAAGTGCAACCTAGATCCTGCGCATGTGTAGTTTACAGTAGGTTTTGTGCTCCTATAAGAATTTAATTTCTGATTATCTGAGGTGAAGTTGAGGTGATGATGCTAGCTCTGGGGAGTGGCTGCAAATACAGGTGAAGCTTCTCTTGCTCACCTGCTGCAATTGTATAACCCAGTTCCTAACAGGCCACAGACCGGTACTGGTCCATGGTCAAGGGTTGGGGACCCTTGGTGTGGGGGGAAAATGGGAATAGAAGAGATGCTGGACTTAGTAGACTTTCTGGTCTCCTGACCCTGTGTTCAGAGATCAGAAGGAAGAGCTAATTTCATGTTCACCTTCCCTCTTGGAAGCTGAAGAGGGAATAAATTTATGATGAATCATGCATCAATCTGTCATGGAGGTACATCTTAATCACAAGGGAACCCATTGTGTGGCTTTGTATGCCACACTTGTTTAATACCCATCCAAGAATGTCAAATGAACTGACTCATTGATATTAGTGGACTTAAGTTTCACTGATTTCATCAGTTCTGTTTTAAGAATGGTTAAATTTTAATATTCCTCATTTTTTTCTTGCTTTTTTATTATGCATTTCCGTGAATTAATTCCTCTGGGCACATTACAGGTGAATATGTACTTGAAATTCAGAAACATTATCTTTGAAAAAACAACTGAACGGCCAATGAGAACTAATATTTTTTTTAATTAAGCTATTCTTAGTATGTTCAATAACTTTATGCTATCAAGTTTTAGTTCTACTTGCATTTTTTTGTCTATATAATTATTGCATTGGTGCAAAACTAAATCTGCAATGATTCCATTTAGAACAGAACAGAACAGAACAGAACAGAACAGCACAGAACAGAACAGAACAGAATAGAATTTTTTATTGGCCGAGCGGGATTGGACACACAAGGAATTTGTCTTGGTGCATACGCTCTCAGTGTATATAAAAAAAAGATACGTTAATCAAGAATCATAAGGTACAACACTTATTGATAGTCATAGGGTAGAAATAAGCAATCAGGAAACAAGCAATATCAATATAAATCGTAAGGATACAAGCAACAAAGTCATAAGTGGAAGGAGATGGGTGATGGGAACGATAAGAAGATTAATAGTAGTGCAGACTTAGTGAATAGTTTGACAGTGTTGAGGGAATTATTTGTTTAGCAGAGTGATGGCTGTTCTTGTGTCTAGTTGTTCTGGTGTGCAGTGCTATATAGCATCGTTTTGAGAGTAGGAGTTGAAACAGTTTATGTCCAGGATGTGAGGGGTCTGTAAATATATTTACATCTGTATTCTATATTTTGAGTGTATTTGGTATATTACATTTACTTCCTTAGTGATGAGATGAATGCAACAGTATATTAACTTACAAATGAGTGTCTAGGTTAGAGATCCGACTCTCAGGCTTCATCACCACTTCATCAGTAGTGAAACTAGAAGCTTTGCAAATGGAGATTCAAGGACAAATAGTAAATTCTATTGGAACTGTCAATAAACAATTTAATAATTAAACTAACAATTAAACTAACAACTAAGTATAAAATAAACACTATATTTATAGGAAAAGCAAGGTTTATTCTTGCCTTTCTTTCTTTCATCCATAAAGATATTCCTGCTTTGGGGCCACACTCTTATCAGTGTGATAGACATTCTGGTTTCAGGATGCTTGGTTGCCAGACTAACTTTGCATAAACTGACATGAGCAGGCAGGTGAAACTGAATGTTGCTTGCACTTATTAAATATTGGCAAAAATATGCCAGAAATGATTAATTTTTATTGTAGCGTTACCAGGAAATGCTGAATGACTGAGGTTGACAACCTAGGCAACTGCTTATTAGAAGTGTTACACATTAGATGCTATAGGGGGCAATTCAGTGCAGTTGGTGCTCAAGGACTCCTTTCCTATCTATGTTTATTGCACAACAAAACAAGGCTGGGCTTTTTAAAATAGATATAGAAGTCACAAGGCTGTGACTTCACTGATAGAAGTCACAGCCAACCAGCCAATCTCTGCCTTCCTCCCTCTTTTCTTGACCAGGTGAAATTGAGAAGGGGGTTGCCCATTTTTCTTCAAGTCCCAACAATGAGAAGATGGTAAAGCAGTCTGTCTGTCCATTCCTCTTTTCAAGCACTCTACTGGCAGATACATCAGATAGGTAGATGCCAAACACTAGAAGCTGTCAGAAGAAAGGTCTCATTGGAAGACCCTGATATTGGGAAAGATTGAAGGCAAAAAGAGAAGGGGATGGCAGAGGATGAGACGGTTAGACACAGTGTTATCAATGCAATGAACATGAATTTGGGCAAACTGTGGGAGATAGTGGAGGATAGGGAGGCCTGGTGTACTATGATCCATGGGCTCATGAAGAATAGGACACAACTTAGTGAATGAACAAGACAAGAAACAGTCAAGGAAGAAGAACGAACATCTACCAGTGAAAACTACATGTCAGATACCCAAACAGGGAAACCTTTCATGGCCAAGTGGAAAGTTAAAGTTTAATTCAAGCCTGATTCTGGTGACCACATAGCCATAGTCATACAGTTATCTTGGCAACAGTGAAGAAATATTTTGTTCTTACTTTTCTTCAGAATATTGTTTCAATATCCTTTTTCAAAAATATTATATCATACCAGTGTATCTTCCGAATAAAAATACAAATATATATAGACCTCGGAAATTGTATGTAAGTGTGTGTTTTTTATTATTTTTTTTATAGTTGTTTTCCATTAAATCCAATTTCTGACTTTGGAGAGTTTAGTAATTATGTTTATTTTGACAGAGATAGGAATTTGAAGTGACCACTGAAAGTTACATACCAGCAACCTGGATTAATAAATTAATGATTCATAAATGAGATCATGCTCTACTCCCAGGAGAACAGATGCAGTATTCATTTATTTATTGATTATTTAATTTTTGTAGTCGCCCATCTCAAACAAGTGACTGGCAAATAATCATAAAACAATTAAAAATGGTCACAATATAGTAATTACTATATAGTAATCTGCTGCTGTATTTTGTTTGGAAAAAATATCAGTAACCCATATTTTGATTGTTGCAAGTCTCTTAAGGTCAGTACATGAATTGAATGAATATAGCAAGTCTCTTAATAAATTGAGATGGGCTACTATAGAAAACAAACAAACAAACAAACAAAT